CATTCATATCGAGGGCTGTGGTTTATCTTGCACGTGTGGCTACCTGGAAATACAAAATGGCTCATCTTCTGATGGCATTTCAAGCAGGCGAAGATGTAAATACTATAAAGACCGTGGGATAGTATACCATTCGGTAAAAGATGTCCTGACGGTGACGTTTGTTTCTGATAATGGTACTTACCGGCGGTACCGTGGATTTAAGGCAACTTACATCAAAGTGAAGTATAATGCAACAAACACCGGTAAGTTATTAAAAATCGGCTTTATACGCATATGTGCAGGCGATCAGGTGATCAATTTTCAGCAAGTTAGATACTTGAAAACATTATTGCCTTATAACAGGCTTATAGCAACTGTAACATTCAAATACTTTTACGGAGTAAAACAACACAAACTAAAATGCCGATGAAATACCGACAATTTTCATTCGCGTGATTTTAAAAGTGTTTTGTTGCAAATCTCCTTTTTTTATGTTTATCTATTGCAACCCTTTTGATTGCTTTTTTTTTTGGTTTACAGACAAAAGTACTCTTCGATGTTGGATTAGAAAGCTTAAAAATGTTTATTTTCGTCTTGTTACAGCTTGTACCTCTGGTGAATATCTTAATCGACTAAGTGGATTCTTTTCAACTCCAAATTTTCCAAGTAACTACCCTCAATACAGCAAATGTACCTGGAATATCACAGTTCCCACCGGGTACATCATTAAACTTAGGTTCCTTTACTTTCGATTGGAGCCATATCAGTCCATTCCCTGCTATAATGCTCCAGAGGCCCGTGTTACAGTCACAAATGTTGCTTCGGATGATGGGTATCAGCCGTTCATGCTTTGCGGTCAGGCTCTTTTCCATCCAGTGTTCTCGGTAGGGAATTCCGTTCAAGTCATATTCACGTCTCTGCGCAGTCAATACCCAGGGTTTAATGCAACTTACACGGCTATCACTTATAGTAGAGGTACGTGGTATACATTATTTATCAGACATCAATGACTGAGATAAGATTTAAAAACCATCACCAATAACAGCTCGACCAATAAAAGGTAATCCAAGAAAGTCTTCTCAAGAAAAATCATAGATTCCAAATCCCAGAACTTACGAACATATTGCTCACAGTTAAGGTTGCTTTGTTTGTGAATTCTTCTAATGTAGCTGTTGTTCACATGGACTTTAATAACAAAGAAAGAAAACGTGAACTACAGAACAATTTTTTTATGCCAGAGTAAGCGCAAGCGCCTAATACCCATACAATGCTCGGTTGGGGCACGGAACGGACTCTTAAAAACTTCGCAAGAAGGCAGTCAATTGTCTGTGACTTATTCACTACGTAAACTCGATAATGTAAAAAAAGATATTCCGCACACAAACCAAAAAAAGGTTCTGGCGCAACTCAAAATTATTAAGTTCTTCCGTTCCGTATTATTTAGTTTTGATCTAATTCCTTGTCAAGTTAACTAGATTCTTTTTTTAAAGTGGTATAATTCTAATTTTCATCGATACTTAGGCTTAGTCCATTTATATTGCTTGCAGTCTGTCCCAACATGGCAACCCTGAATGAGACATCAGGAGTTCTTACCAGTCCTTTCTATCCAAGGCGTTACCCTTCAAACGTGAAATGCAGCTGGAAAATTATAGCAAGCAATGGAGAACGCATTTTGTTGTTCATTGAAGACATTCAGATTACGAACTGTGGTTCATCTTGCACGTGTGACTACCTGGAAATACAAAATGGCTCATCCTCTGATGGCATTTCAGGCAGGCGAAGATGTAGATACTATAAAGACCGTGGGATAGTGTACCATTCGGTAAAAGATGTCCTGAGGGTGACGTTTGTTTCTGGCAGTGGTACATACCGGCGGTACCGTGGATTTAAGGCAACTTACATCAAGGTGAAATATAATGCAACAAACACCGGTAAGTTAGTCAAAATCGGCTTTAAACGCAAAGTTAAATCAATTTTTAATGTCATAAATTTATATGTAAATAGTTTCTTAATAGGCTTATTGATAATCAATTTGTGATTTCATAAATTCTATGTGCAAATAGTTTCTTAATAATTGTTTATTGACAACTCTTGAGTATTTTACTTTTTTATTTTTATTTATTTATTTATTTACTTTTATTATTTTGTTTGTTTGTTTGTTTTTTGATTACCTGCACTATTAATATTTTTCTCTGAAAAGCCCCCATGGGGAGTGGACAATAAAATTTGTATTGTATTGTATCAATTTTCAGCAAGTTATATAAAACATTATTGCCTTATAACGGGCTTATAGCAACTGCAACATTCAAATACTTTACGGAGTAAAACAACACATAACTAAAATGCCGATGAATTGCCAAAAATTTTCATTCCCATGATGTTAAAAGTGTTTTGTTGCGAATCTCCTTTTTTATGTTTATCTATTGCAACGCTTTCCTGATTGAGTTTTTTTTTTTTTTGGTTCACAGACAAAACTCTTTGATTTTGAATTATAAAGCTAAATCATGTTTATTTCCTCTTG